AAGAGCAAGATGAAATAGAACAAGAAATAGAAGAATGTGAGGAAGTTAATGAGGATATTAATGTGATCAATGTTGAATACGAGGAGAATTATATTATGATGAATTTTTTGACTTCGATGCATTTGAAAGAGATCAGGAAGCTTTTTTACTTGAAGAGGTTCGTGATAATTCCACACTACAAAATGATACCGGGAAGGAATGGACCATCAAAGATATTATTTCTCAAAGCCAATAGATATTACATGTAACGAAGAAAATAATGAATACCTTTACCTCTTTGCATATTCAAATAACTTTTATCTTAAATTACGGGTCCTTAAAAATAAAAAATATAAAGTCAGTAATATACAATGTTTGAAAAAGGTATACTTATCAAAGAGCTGACTGTATGCTGTATGTTAATCTGTTCATTTCTAAACTATTGAAATTCTTGCAGTATTTTAATTCGACTATTGAGATCTTTTCTATCTATTTAAAAAGAATACAGATAATTTCTAATTGTACGCACGTATGTATAAACACATACACTTTTACAAAAAAAATCTAACCTTTGCTGACAAGATTTTACCCTTTACAGTAATATTTTATGTCAAAAAACTTGAGCCCATAAACCTAGTTTTCATTTACTTCCAAATCTTGATTTGGATGTTCATCGAATGTCTGTAATTGTAAATCATGTAAAACATCTAATTTTCATAGTCGTGATTGGTTAATTATAGATTTTTCTTCATTATAGCTCTGAACGATTTGATTGGTCACTTATCAGTTATGTGATCATAGTAGAGCATGTCTATAGGCATGCCTCAAGTCAGGGGCATGCCCATAGGGCATGCCTATTTTATTACTTGTGCCCACAACCCTAGTTATTGAGCTTTCAATTATATTTGTATCTAGATTACTATAAAGAAATTTTATTATTGGACTTTCGATTATATTTGTAATGATTGTTACAAAATATAATAGAAAGCCCGATGATAGATTTTCTCTAGATAGTACTCAGAAAACCAACTGGATACAAAATATAATTAAAAGCCCAATGACAAGCTTTCTCTTGAATGCACTTATCTTAATATGAGAATATGTACTTGTATAATATCAACATTGAGACTTTAGATATACTGTACTTATCTTTTGAAAAAAATCCTATTAATATTATATAATATATGATCAAATAAGTTCGGTGAATTATAAATTTAAAAGCCTGAAGTCTGGTTTTTTTTAGACATTACCTATTATTTATTTGAAGTGATTCTTTCTACAGATCAAGCTGATTAGTTTATGCTAAGTCTTAGATTTAAGCTATAGCTCTGAATCGGATCTAGTTATTTAACTACAGTTCAAGCTAGTTAGGTTTATGCTAAACCATAGCTTTAAGCTATGGTGCTGGATAAATTCGCTAAAGCCATGGTCTCAAATTGTAAATCTTTACTACTTTATATCTCATCCATATATCAAAGATTTTTTTTTGAAAATTATTACCTTGCTTTTTTTTTGGTTTGCAATTTTAGATACAATATTATGAGAAAACCGTATATCAAGCTTTTGGGCTTATTACTTGAATTTATTTTCTGAAAGTATGGTATATAATTAAAGGCACATATATCAATTAATTTGCTAAAATTAAACCAAAAATTGGCTTTATGTTTTATACAGTGTATAATATTTAATTAGCACTAACAAAATTAGCAGCCTATAATAACGATAGCTATTATGATATCAATAATTTTGGCATCAAAAAAAAAATCGCAATCAAACATTCTGTACTAAAAACATTTTATCATACTATCTGTTATAAATTCTTTAATTTAGATGCTTAAAGCTTTAATTGTTATAAACCCTATTTATTCAGACAAAGTTTTTCAGATTTTGATTAGAAGTTTAATCTAGTCAAAAAATTTGTATTCAAATATTTATTTGTTCAATCTTTTTAATATTCAAATATTCATTAAAAATTTTAAATAAATATTTGAATATTCACTGAATATTCAATGAATATTATATTATCCCTTAAACCGCATTCCAGGCAAATTTGCCTGGAAAATTTAATTATATTTAGTATTTTTTAAATAAAATAATAATTTATTAATAATATGGGATAATAGAATATATTCTTGAAAACATATTTTATAACTTTTATTATAAAAGTTTTTTAAAATTATTAATAAATTTTTGAGAAATAAAACTTTAAAGTTTTTGTTTAAAAATTTTTT